GTTCACAACCACTCCTTCCCTCCATCTACTTGGCGTATACTCGTTTTTCCACACCCAATTGTATAGCAGTACCATCAGCTGGATCATCCCCTTCCCCCCAAACTTCATGAACTCGTTGACTATCCCATCCGCTCCTGCTGCTTTGTGGCACTTCAGCTTGTTCACACACGCCTCAACCTCGTCCTCAGTGAACTCCTTTTCTAGTTCTGTGGGGGGGGGGGGCTTGTTTTACAACGAAGTTGCAAAGCGACAAAAACCCAACCCCGATGGCGACACCGGGGGGGGGCATTAAGGGGGGGGGTGGTATCCAACGGGTGTCATACCCCTACCGCGCACTTGCAGGGACCGAAAAGAAGTGTGGTAGCAAAGGGGTGTGATACCCAGAGGGTGTGATACCACTGCCGCACACTAGGGGCCGAAGGGGTGTGGTAACGAAAGGAGTGTGTGTGCTAGTGGCCTACAAATTATCACCTACCGTACCTGCTGCCGCACGTGTAGCGGATGTGATACCCACTGCCCGCAAGTAACTACCGTATTGCTCCCGCATTTGCAGGGTATTGGTACGTGTGCTACGTGGGCAGGGGTGACAACCGGGGAAGTGATACACCTCCTGATCACATGATCCCAGCGATGAACGCCAACAACGCCCTCATACCATGCAACAAGAACTTTTTTTATCACTACCGCCTGGCACCATAGATAACATGCCGAGAAAGCGGGGAGGAAACAAACGGAGCTGCATGCATTTCAGAACCCACGATCAATGCGCTGCGAGGCGGAAGCTTCCAATTATTACCCCTTCCAGACATGAGTGGGTTGGCGCTGTTGGCAAAGCCCTGTAAAACACGCCACCCCAAATATAGCCCCCATAGTATGCGCTACCAAAGACGCGTGACGCATGGACGAGTGGAGTGAGGATAGCTGTTTACTGAAACCTCACAGGTTGAGTAATGTGCGAGATTGCCAGACACATAGACGAGCTGAGTGATATACCTGTATACTGAAACCTCAAGGGTTGAGTGAGATTAAAGATTGCTAGACACATGGACGGGTTGAGTAGGGATAGCTGCAAACTGAAATCCCATGGTTGAGTGATGTTGGAGTGCCGGACACGTAGACGCGTTGAGTGAGAATAGACACAAACTGAACCTCACAGGTGATTTGTCATGGAGAATGCCGGACACATGGACGCGTTGAGTGAGGATAGCTGCATACTGAAACCTCACAGATGGATTGGTTGTTGAGTTTGCCAGACACATAGACGCTCTGAGTGGGTATAGCTGCATACTGAAACCCCACCGGTTGAGTGATGTTGGATAGTGCCAGACATATAGACGCATTGAGTAAGGATAGACACATACTGAAACCTCACAGATGGATTGGTTGTTGAGTTTGCCAGACACATAGACGCTCTGAGTGGGTATAGCTGCATACTGAAACCCCACCGGTTGAGTGATGTTGGATAGTGCCAGACATATAGACGCATTGAGTAAGGATAGACACATACTGAAACCTCACAGGTGATTGATTTGGAGATTGCCGGACACATAGACGCGTTGAGTGAGGATAGCGTAATACTGAAACCTCACACATGGATTGCTTTTTGACTTTGCCAGACACATAGACGAGTTGAGTGGGGATAGCTACATACTGAAACCTCACGACTTGAGTGATGTTGGATAGTGCCAGACACATATTGAGACCTTCCGGGTTGAGTGACGTTTGCGATTGGCGGACACATACACGCGTTGAGTGAAGAAAGCTGCATACTGAAACCTCACAGGCTAATTTGTGTTGGAGATTGCCGGACGCATCGACGCATTGGTGACGATAGCTGCATGCTGAAAATCCACAGTAGCTCTAGTGAGGGGACAATTCGAGAATGCAGTACACGTAGACCCGAACCCCAACCCGTACCCGAACCCCCCCTGAAAAATAGAAGCCATGCGCCCCCGCCACCCTCTACCTCCCCCAGAGGATGAGGAGGGTACAGTCCAAAGTAAGCACAAGCTTACCTAAGGTTTGTGCCTATTGGTACCGCAATAAAAAATACTAGAGTCCCCCATTGGGCGGTGGAGGACTAAGAGCGAAGACACCCCAAAACTCTCCGCCGTGATATCCAAGATGGATCGGACGGTGGGGGGGGGGTGTTCGTTGCTTGAAGTGGATCAATAAAACATAGAGCCATCAAAGCAGAGCTTACTACTCACATCGAGCAAGCTTAACGACCAGACCAACCACCGAAAAATTGCGGAGCTAGATGTGCGGCACGCATAATGCATTGTTTTCGATTGGAGAGAGGCGAGTACAAAGCAGCAAGGAATTGTCGGCCAAAACTGTTGGCAGATAGGTCTACTCGGGAGCGTAAGTGGGGTAGCAACCCATGGTGGAGCGTACATGAGAAGCTGGACGTTGGTGTACGCCCCATCCCGGCGTGTGAGTAGGATCTTAGGCTATGCAAGTCATCCCTGAACTTATTGTGGTGAAAATGACCTCCCGGGAAAAAAGAAGCCTGTACCGCGGGATTTCGGAGATGATAATTTGGGTGGTCGGGGGACGTCTGGGTGTTGGGGACGTGGTAAGCAAACTAGGGAAATACCAGTGGGTAGGGAAGGCAAGAAAGGGCTTAGACCCGAAGGAAGGGGGGGAGGGGGGAGGATTCCTGGTCAAGGAACACTTGCTTGGCGTGGTGGAAGTAGTGGTGAAAACGGAGTTCGAGGAAAGCCTATGGCTTAAGATACCTGGGGGGCGGGGTGAGAAAGATTGGTTTGTAGGGAACGTATACGTCCCACCGTCGTCGAAGAAAGTCGCAAGCAAGGCGCAGGAGAACTTTGGACAAATTGGGGAAGATGTCCAGAGGTTCAGTAGGAAGGGAGAAGTTGTCATGGTGGGCGATTTCAACTCCAGAGTAGGGAAAGCTTCCAGTAGAGGACAGGCGATCGGGCAGCACGGAGAAGACAAAGTGAATGACAACGGAGTGAGGATGCTTGAATTCTTGGGAAGCAACGAGCTGATGGAATTGAAGGGTAGGAGGGAATGCGATAAGCCGGAGTTTACCGGGCAACGGGCAGTTTGCAATGAATATTCAATCCTCGACTACATCCTGCTAGATAGGGGGAGCGCACAGATCCCAGAGCTGCACGTGAGTGTGATTGATATAGGTTCGACCGACCACTTCCTCATATGGGCAAACATCGACCGATCTAGAAAGATGGACAGTAAGAAACAGAGGAAAGTGTTCCAGTGGAAAATAGAGCGTTTGGGAGACGAGGGGACGCGGGATGACTTCCAGAAGGGACTGGCTGGTAGTGTAGAACCCTTCAGGAAACTGCTGAGAAGCGTCGAAGACGGACAGGTAGACGTACAAGCAGCAGGGGACAGGGTGAATAAAGGGTGGGAGTCCATATTGAACACAACGGCTGAGACAGTAATGGGAAAGCAGGTGGTACGATGTGGGGTATCGGTTAAGTGGTGGGATGAGGAGCTGAAAGAAGAAATAGGGGAACGTCGAGAAGTCTTCAAGCAGTACCTGAGTGAGGCGTCTGAGGAGAGTTGGGAAAAGTACAGGGCCAAGAGAAAAAACAGGTGAAGGGACTAGTGAAAAAGAAGAAAAGGTGTTTTTGGGACGAAGTAGTGCAGAAGGCCAACGGAGGCCTGGAGGGGAACGTCAAGCAGATGTGGCAAGGGATTAGTGGAGTGGTAAAAAAGACCGCGCAAGGGGGGGACAAAGGGGTAGCAACTTCGCGAGGTGTGAACGGTGGACTAGTCGGCAGTGCGAATGGAAAAAAGGAAGTTCTAGCAGGACACTACAAAAGCTTGGAGTGCCCTCGGAGAATGAAGCTCTTGAAAAAGTGTTTTAAGAAAGAGGTGGACGCACGGGCCCAGAAAGCAGAAGAGACATTGAAGGCAGACGTTGGGAACGTTTAGAACTAGAAAAGGAGTTCACTGAGGACGAGGTTGAGGCGTGTGTGACCAAGCTGAAGTGCCACAAAGCAGCAGGAGCGGATGGGATAGTCGACGAGTTCATGAATTTTGGGGGGAAGGGGACGATCCGACTGATGGTACTGCTGTACAATTGGGTGTGGAAAAACGAGTACACGCCAAGTACATGGAGGGAAGGGGCGGTTGTGAACTTGTTAAAGAAGGGAGACAAGACTGACCCAGGAAACTACAGAGGGATCACACTGTTACACACAGTAGGAAAAGTGTTCTGTAAGCTGCTGAATGATAGGATAGTGGGAGTATTGGAGAAGGAACATAGCATTAGTGAGGGCCAGGCAGGTTTCCGAAAGAAGAGGGGGTGCGTAGACCACGTATTCACGGTAGGGAGAATCATCCAAGGTAGAAAGAGGGCGGGAAAGCCGACGTACTGCTTCTTCCTGGACGTGAAAAAGGCATACGACACCGTGTGGAGAAATGGGTTGTGGAAACAACTGTCCAAATACGGGATCAAGGGGAAAATGTGGAGAGTGCTGAAGAAGATGACAGAGTGCACGAAAAGCGCGGTCATGCTAGACGGAGAACTGTCAAAATTCTTCGACATTGAGCAGGGGGTCCCACAAGGTTGCACGCTGTCCCCAACATTGTTCCAGGTGTTCATCAACGATCTGTTGGAAGTCGTAGAGGCAGTCCGGAAGGGAGTAAAAGTAGGGGACACGGAAACGTCGGTTTCAGGAATGCTGTTTGCGGATGATTTTGTCGGTATGTCGGACACCCCTGAGGGACTGCAACTGCAAATTGACGCGGCGAAGAAGTTTACTGATAAGTGGAGATTGTCTGCCAACGTTCAGAAGAGTGCCGTCATGGTTTGCAACGAGAACAAGGAGGAACCAGTAGAACATAGATGGAAGTGGGGGATCGAGGAGATTGCAGTAGTGGACCAGTACACATACCTCGGAGTAGAGATCGCAAAAGACTGCTCGTGGAATGCACACATGTCCAAGGTAGCGGAAAAGGGCAAATCACGAGCAGGGAAGCTGCACCCAATACTCGCAAACCGGCACCTCGATACACGCATCAAATTGACGGTTTTGAAGAGCGTAATCGTACCGCCGCTAGAGTACGCCGGAGAAGTATGGGAAGGAAATAAGAAGGTAGTGAAAGAACTCGAGGCGGCGCAGATGAAAGCAGCGAAAACCATCCTAGGATGCTCCAGGCGCACAAGTAATGCAGCCGTGAGGGCAGAATTGGGGATCCAATCCCTACGGTCGGGAAGAGACGCGAGGAAGCTGACCTGGCAGTATCGCATGTGCGGGATGGGAGAGGAGAGGTTGCCGAGAATTGTATGGGAGGCGAAGTGGGCAAACAAAAAGAGGGGTAGACAACCCACGGAATGGGTCAAGGTTGTAGAGGACGTATGGAAGGGGCTCGACATCGACGAAGATGAAACGCTGGAAACGGAGGGTCTACAGGGGTTCAAGGAGAAGATATCTGTTGCTTGTGCCGAGAGAGAAGAACAGAATCTGAGGAAAGAATCCAAGGATAAGGAGGGTCTAGAAGTGTACGGAATGTTGAAGGAAGGAATAGGGTTCAAGGACTACCTACATGGACCAATGGATGCAGGAACAAAGCTTAAGGTCAAATTCAGGACCGGGGACATAGGCCTTCGAGAACGTCGACGAAGACATAGGACGGTAGACGAGGAAGACGACGAGTTCAAATGTGATTGCGGCTTCGAATGCGAAGACCGTGTTCATGTAGTCGCGGAATGTCCGTTGTACAAGAAGGAGAGGGAAGTGTACGTGACTGAGCTGGGAAAAATAGATGGAACGTACAGGGAGATGTTTGAGGCATGGAATAGAGAGGAAAGGACGGTAGCTGTACTGGGGCATAGGAGGTGGGTTGAAAAGGCGGGAAGGGATATCGTTAGGATAGACAGACTAGGGAAGACATTTTTGAGCCACCTTTGGCAAAGTAGAAAGGAACGATTGGCCATCGGTGATCGGTCCTGTGGGAACAATGCTCCGTCCTCTCGAGGACGCGTGGTCAATGGTCTAAGCGCTAAGGCATGCAAAACATAATAGTACGCCCCTTCCCCCCCAGCGCCCCGGGTCTAACCGCTAAGTAAGGAAGAACGACAGCATCGCTGGGCTTCTGCCCCCCTCGTCCCGATCGGAGGCTTGACTGGTGCGCATTGACTCTTCTGCATCATCAGCACCTCCGGGTGCTGCTGAGAGAAACTCAGCAGGAAGCTGCTGAGCCAGCGTGGTGGCTGCCCCATTGGTGCTCGTGGCTGTGCCAGCTTTGTCAGCCGCAGTTACAGGAGCAGCAGCAGGAGCAGCAGCAGGAGCAGCAGGTGTAGAACCTTGCTCGCGTTGACGGAAGAAGGAGGTTAGCGGGCGAGCCACTGCTGCGGTCGAAACAGCTGCCGAACGAGGAGAGGTGACAGCAGTGGGATTCTGCTCTCCCTACACGTTCATGTAATTGGAGGTCTCCATCCGGGGCGGTTGCCCGGTACCCAGAGGGTGTGTTGGGTGTGTTCCGTGCTGAGTCATCCCGTGGGTGATCAGCGACCACTGGTGCTTGTTCATCACCGGGGTGAAATTAGTGGGGGCTCCGTGATTACACGCGGCATTACCTCATGGGGTGTGTTATCTTATGTAACCCGGGTGGTATTTTGGCTTTTCGTGTGAGATCCAAAATTATTAGCACCGAGTGTGGTATTCTGTGGGGGGTGTCTTATCTTCTGTGGGTGTAATATCTTGTGTCGTATACGGTAACCCCTCCGACGACGAGTTAGAGCTGGAGCTAGAGCGAGATAGCACCGCAGAAGTTGACGGTGCGAAGGGCAAGGGGGTGATGGCGCAGCCGCCATACTCGGAGCTACCGGCCGATATTGGCCAGCTTTAAGAGTGGGCGGAGTTGTGTGGCGTGGGCGAGGCAGCGCACTATCTTCGCAAGGCGAAAATGGCGTTCCTCGCAGCGAATATCAGAGAGAGGTTGGGTTAAAAATGGTCGATACACGCGACAAATACAGTACAAATGAGCTGCTGAAGCACGTGGTTGGTTGTCATTGCGTTGTCCCGAACTTGCCCCAGGTTCGTTAGAGACGGGAACGATTTTCCAGTCTTCATGAAGGGCATTCAGTCCATCAGGGAAAGCAAACTTTGCGCTTTCGTGAATTGAAATGCCCCAGTGTGCTTGCTGTGTTGTCATCCTTAGAGTCGATACTTCTTCATCTGCACCCTCGTATGACTGCTGCAATGAGACACAAGGAGGACATACATCAAACTGAACTTTTTCCACGCTGGTCTTGTTGGGGAAAAAATGGGCTTCTTCCCGGTTTAGCGGTTGCAGTAATCACCGCTATTGAGCCTCCCGGTTAAGCGGTGATTGACCGTTAAAGAGGTTTGCGGCGATGCCCTGAATAGCGGCTATATTTTTCGCGACACTATAGATCGCTAAAGCGGGCCCACGACTGTACATGTATTTAAAAGGGGTGTGCGCATGCACGTGTCAGGGCCGTCAGCACGCCACATCGGAGGTCACGGGCACGCTGACAAGGCGAAAAAAAAGTCATAACCCCCGTGCCCTGCGCGGAGGTGACAAGAGGCGAGCGGGTGTCTGACTTGGGCCTCAAAACGGGCATTCGCCAATGCGGTGCCATGTAGTCTACACATCGCAGACGTCTTCACATTGCAGACTTCAAGTCTTGCCTGTGTGTTCTTGCTTAAGAGAACGCATAGTGCCATTTGGAATTACTATTTTTCTTACCCGTTCGAGACATACCGAAGGTTGCGTGTGTTGATGTATTTGCAGTGATTGCGCAAAGGACGCCTGGGTAGTTATTGGGCTGAGCTTAATAGTCCTGCACGCTGAAGAGGATATGTGATACCAGCTGCTGGCACTTGGAACACCCCGCTGCTATGCAGGAGCAGATGATGTCCAGTGCTGTATGTTCAAGTCTATATTCCGTAAACGACACCCCGAGAGATGGGGTGGGGCCGGCCGCGAAAGCTAGAAACAACGAGGCGCATAGGCGAGCAAACCGAAGCCTGGTGGCAAAAGGCGCAGACCCTTTGCGCAGCCGCAGCGGGCATGATGCATGAGAGAGAGAGAACCATAAGCCGGTGTGAACGGTAGCCGCTGTCGCGGCAAACTGCAACAACAAACGCGCAAACTGCAAACACGTTCATGACAGGGATATGACATAATGATGCAGCCTACATCATTTTGCTTTGTCAAACCCGCTAGGTGCAAGGCAGGCACTAAACCCTCGTGGACCCACTCGCGCACCTGAAGCCTTGTCGTCTGCAGACGGGACCCGCGTCAAGGACGTCACGTCCTCCTCGACTGGTGCTGTACCCTTCCCCCCCATGGCACCAGGCGGCGGTGATCCGTACGCCTGCTGTTGTTCGTGAACCTGCCTGCTGCTGCTGCTGCTGCTATTGCCTGGCCCACCGCCGCCGTTTGCTGTCGCGATGTGCTGACCATTGCTGCCAGCGCTGCTGCTCCTCGAGCGGGACCTTGAGAACAGCGGCATTTGCGTGGGGGTGGAGCTCCTCCTTTTGTGCGATGCCACCACTGCTGTCGCTTAGGCTGCGCCTCTCAAATCAATCTCCAGCTTGTACCACGGATTTTAGGGACAGCTGGCTCTTGTGTGTGTGTTTCGATTGTAGTTTCCTTTGACAGACGAACGTAGTACAGGCTTATCCCAAACGTCCTCCGGGCCTTCTGATGCAAATCCCCTGGCGTTTTTCAAAGTGCTGTCGGAGAACCCACCCGCTCCTTCGCTCTCTGCTCCGCTCGCTGGCTCGTTTGCTGTGCAAATGTCTGTAGTGTCGGCTCGCTTGCATGCAGTCTCTTCGCTGGGGGCACGCGAACCGGAACCAATGGGTACCAATATTTTGCCATTCTCGGATGATCATCTGTCTCTGCGAGCGTTGCACAACAGCAGCAGACAGAGCAGCGGCAGCGACTAGCAAGGGAAGCAGAGAGTAGCATGAAGGCTTCATCATGCGCCGTCGCCCGGCATTATAGTCGCTGCACCCGCGTTTCCATCATGATGGGAAGGGCATCTAGTCGGCGTCGCCCTATGTCCACCTCTTCTCTCGCCTGTCCTTCCATCGATTCAAACGCCACCAGCAGGTGCAACCACGGCCACCACCGGACCGTTGTTGCGGAGGAGGCGCTGTTGATGAAGCCTGCCGGTGCTTCTGGGGGGGAAAGCAACGAAGGAAACAGGGAGGGGAGCATGGCAATAGATTGGGGTGAGATGAGTAGGCGTCTCTGAAGTCGTACGGGTGCATACAGCAGTACTGCGGCAGAGCTTCGGAGTTGCTGGGGATTGCGGCCCGACAACATTTACACTTTCCTGTGTCAGGTGTGCTTACAAGCAAGTGGGGCGGTGAGGTTTGCGGGAGGGATGATCGCCGCCACGCCACCCCCGTATCACCACAGAGGTCTTCTGAATGTCTTCCTGGCCAATTGCACATCAGCGTGCCTCCCTGTGCTTCTTTCCGACACCGTCCCCCCGCGCCTCCGGATGTAGATATGCAGCATGTTGCACGTAAGTTAGGTTGCCTCTAAATGTGACTGTACTCAATTTACCTCTCCTGTTTCCCGCCTGCATCCAAGGAACCTACCATGTACTTGTAGTGTGTGCTGCATTGGCTCGGATGGACTGGTTTCATAATTAAACTTTCTGCTCTGGGCGCCCATTATGAACACCCTTTAGTGTTTCGGTAACGGTTTTGGCCAGACCACGGACTTTCTTCAGAGGGGCATGTTTGCTTGCGTGTGAATGTACTTACTGCTCGATGTCCAACGGGATCGACCGCGTCAGGGGTTCCATCAGTGCGTGCAGGTGAAGGCACTGAGTAGAGAGATCGGAACCGTTGTCAATGTGAATACATCATCAACAACAACCCTCGATACTTCCCAGAAATACCGTGTCAAATGCTTGGAGACACCCATGATGCTTTTTGGGAATGGGAGTTCATGAAGGTGGGTCAAATATCATGAAGTACTTTTGAAGAACGATTGCTACCGTGTTATCACCATCTTGCCGGGTAACCCCCCCCCCCCCCCCCCCCCCCCCCCCCCCCCCCCCCCCCCCC